GCAGTGGTGAAATACTTGTGTGATGGATTGTCAATGTTGATTATTAGTAATAATGTAGTTTATCCTTTTTTATATAATACATATGTCTTACAGTTATTCATTCTTCCTCATTTCAGATGATGACCATCCCATATCCATTATCGAAGATGTAGCAGAGATACTACCACCAGTTCCACTTCAAGAAGATAATGGTGATGATGTGCAAGAGTTTGTATGTGCATGCAAATACAACAATGGTCATCCATGTTCAACACGTTTCATGCAAGAGGAGCTGCAGATGATTCGCCACTGTTTCCTGGAAATGACAAGGGAAGAGCTAGATATTGCCGTTTTAGCTAAACTCTCGTGTGGAATGCATCTTTCTCAGCTAACATCCCGCACCCATAAAAAAGAACAGACAGTTCGGAAGTCCCAAAGAACTGATTTCTTTCACCATGGGGAGAAAATATGCAGGGATACGTTTAAATATCTCCATGCCATTGGCCAGGTCAAGCTAGATGCTCTTATTAAGCATTATAAGGAGCATGGTGTTACTCCTCGAATGCATGGCAACAAAAAGTGTCAGCCTCCTGCCTTCAGACTGAGAGGGGCTATAAAAAACAACTTGTTTTTGTAACAAAATATGAAATCTCAGCTTTAGTGAAACATGATTTGTTATTATGTTTCTGTGACAAAAAAAGCTCACCTTTACTGGATATTCTACATTTCAAGCTTGACATGGTATTAAAATGCTATTAAAGTGCTATCCAAAAAGGAGTAAATTAGTATTTTAGACTTTAAAAAAAGGAAGACAAATAGAAAAACAACCAGGATAAAATTTGTAATAAAGTGGTCAGTGACACGGCTGGTGTTGGGACTGGACCCAGGAGCAGACACCCAGACAGTTTGGAAGGTTTAAAGGGGTTTTATTCCACACGCACACACACACGGGGGGATGAGGGGCGGCCACAGCAGGAACGGGCGGGTGAAATGGTGAAAGAGACCGGAGACACAGAGGCACAGGTGAGCAGACACAGGAAGCAAACTGCGGGGCCTGCGGGACCCTGGGGCACGGGAGAGAAATGGTTAGCTGGGGAACAGGCACAGGGAAAATCTCAAGAGAGCTTGAATTGCTTAACTAAATACTGAAGGGAGCCATGAGAGTTACCACCACATAGGCTGAACAATCTGGCGATGACTGGGAGGAAGACCGGGGTTCTTGAAGACTGAGGCATGATGAATGACTGAGAGCAGGTGAGACAGCAGACAGCAGGTGAGGAGAATGGAGGCCGCACCCTCATCAGACACACAGGGAAGGAGGAGGAGCAAAGGGAGGAGGAGGGGAGCAGAGCCATGACAGTCAGCTGTAAGATCCCTTCTTTTCAATTATAATTAATGGCTAGAAACTTTGACTGAACAAGAGAAAGTAATAATTTTAACAAAATATAATATAATCTGTAGTGTTGTTACTTTTAGCTTTTGTGGAGTGTATTGTGAAAACATGACAACTTATGATATACAGTATGTCAGTAAAGCAACAAAAAGATTAGAGTCAGTTAGAGGATGAATTAATCTTACTGCAAAACAAATTTGGGTAAAAAGTGTATATTAAGGTACACACATTCACCATTACCTAGTTGCCTTTTAGCATGCATATTAGCAGCATATTGGCCCTTTATTAGTCATTATCAGTAAAGACCATATACTACAACTACTAGACCCCAGGCAGCTGCTGTAGTCAATGGTGAAAATCTGTAGCTTCATTAGTCCTGATGGTTTCGGCTGTACTGGAGTTTTCTTTTCAATCCTTACCTGCAATTTCTTTTCTAATAATTACTATCTGTGTCTAAACAAGATGTACATTCATTGGTGAATTGAGAAGGCATATTTGAGGGTTGTCAAATGGTTCCACATCATGACAGTGGAACTGAGAGTTTGCATAATGTGAAAGGCACATTATGGTCTGGCAGGAGTATGGTCCAAACCCACTCTGTATCAGAATCCGAATTAGAATCGGGTTTATTGCCAAGTAAATTTACACATACGAGGAATTTGCCTTGGTGCATAAGAATCACAAAAAATCAAGGAATTAAATATGAATAAAGATAGAAGCTTCTAAAGCTGTGCAAGGCAGAAATTGAAGGGATATCAATCTATTCCAAACAGTCTCTGTCACTCCTTGTTGGTCTGCAGCTTGGGGGAGAGTGTCTGGGTAGCTGATGTAGCAGCATAGACATAGGGCTGTCATGCGGCAGTCAATTGCGCCTGCTTTTAATCTGTTTATCCCTTTTTATTTTAGCTGAACGATGGTGAGGAGTTAATCCCTAGTTTTGTATTACTTGTTTTGTTATACTTTATTGTTTTGATTAACTAGCTTGGTAAGCTTAATTGGTTAACTATTTCCTGCTTTATGTTGTATATTGTTTTTATTATATTATTTATATTTTATGTTAATTACTTCCATTGTAACTTTTATTTTCCCTTCTCAGTGGCTGCAGGCTGGTGGTGGTGCTGGTGACGTGGGTGGTGGTGTCCCGCCTTCTTGTGTGCTGTGCTTCCTTGGATTTGGTGATTCCACAGTGTGTGACTGCCACGTGTGTCTGGGTGAACCCTTTTTCGTTAATTTAATTTAAGAGTCCCCTTCCCCTTCACCTGCTCTTTCCCCACCAGTAGACCTCAGCCCCTGATTAGGCTCCCTTTTTCATTTATTGGGATGAATGCTATTTTTTATAATGATATATTTATTAAGTAAAGTATTTTTGTAAACTGGGAATCACGTGTCTTGCCTGTCGAGTGGAACGAACCTGTGTTTTTGATCAGTGTAAAATAATTCCTTGGGTGCAATTCCCAAGGTGGCGTTGTCGTGCAACCTAAGATTCCCATTGAGAGCTCCACATTTTGCAACCCCCGCCACAATCTGGCGTTGTCGGCAGATCTACTCTTCCAACAGGCAAAGACGTGTGTTCCTTGTGGGTTTTATTTTTTTCCTTGTGTTTTCTTTCTCTGGTGTACTAATGTTGTTTTTTTTGTAGGCATCTGCGAGAATTTAAAGAGACAAAGCAGCAGTGGTTTCCAGTGGACCTTCGTGCCAGTTTTGGTGAGATTTGGTATAGCAGATTAGGCCTAGGTAGTAGTTTGAGTTTTATTGTAGCTATGGAGGAAGAGTTACAGGAACTTAGAGATCTGATTAAACAGTTAAAGGCTGATAATGAGCGGTTACGACAGGAACAGGCTGGCTCTAGTGCCTTACCGTCCACCTCTTTTGTGCCACCTACTGCCCCTTCTACTTCCAGTGTCCCTGTAACAGAGAGGCTGGTGTTTGTGCCCCGTGATAGGAAGTGTCCTGTTTTTAGGGGAAGGACGGGTATGGGGTTGAGTGAGTGGAGGGAGGAAATACAGGTGTGTATGAGGTCCCGGCGTTTATCCCGGTCTGACCAGGCATTTTTTTGGAAGATCTATAGATCTACACAGATATCTAGCAGAACCAAGCTCCATAGCAGAGATGACTAGGAGTTGTTGTGCAGTAAACTGGGAGAACCACCTCCTTTTGGTTTGAATTAGGCACTCACCAACACAGATCTTGCCTACAGATTTGGTCTTCCATTCTCAACTGTATACATTTTAAAGAGAGAACATACAACCGAAGAGCAATCTAACCTGTTCAGGTTTTAAGCACCAAAACACAGTTAAGTATGTAATTGGAATAACACCAGCAGGAGCTATATCTCTTGTTCTGGGTTACATTAAAAATTTCACCAAGGGGTCTCAGTTGGCTGGTTCTTGGGTGGACAGTTCACAGCAGTTATTAAGAATGTACATACATTTGGAACAAGTTAGAGGTCAGCTGAAAACCTTTCAGATACAGAATGCTGTGATACCCATCAGTCAGGTCAAAGCAAAATGACTACAAAGAGACTTAAAATGACTACAAAAAGACACAAAACAACTTAAAATAGATGTAAAATAACCAAAAAGAGATGCATAACAACTTAAGAGAGGTACAAAAAGACCACAAGGACACACAAAACAACTACAAAGAAACATCAACTGACTACAGTCTGGGTATCTTGTTCCTGTGTAGGAGGGGTGGTTGGCCTTTTACATGTCTGTTCCAGGGGTCTGCTGCTGTCTCAGAATCTGTCCATGGCAGTAAGCAACTTGGAGTTACAAATAGCAGCTATTTATTGATACTATTTCATGTTGAAATATTTAAAGTCATTGTTTGGGAGTAATGTGTCACACAGAATCATCAATATGACTATTAATGATGTACACTTCATTGTTGCCAATAACCAGAGCTATAAATGGGAGTGTTAACAGATTGTTAGTCATTTCCCCAATATGCCCTCCTTCTTTAAAACGGTCAGCTCCCACCATGCAACAAGTATTCACACACGTTCCCTCTCCTCATGGTAAATAATATAGTGGTTAAAAGTTAATTTCAGGGTTTTCTGCAGTGATATGAGTGGATTTTATTGATCCCTGCAGACCAAACAGTGAAGCTGGGTCTCAAAGCTGTATGTGACAAACTCTCCATGGAACACACAGCAGTCTGAAGCAGGAATAGTGTCTCATCCCACTGATGGATGGTTTGCTGAATCATCCTAGTGCCACCTGGTGGTCATGTTAAGGGTTACCATACATGTCCAGAATTATTTTTTTACTTTTAACCCCAAGAACTCAAACAATTCTGGAATGATGAATGATTTATTGTTCAGTAGACAAACAGGCAAGCAAATGTTGATAATCTGTCTGTATAAATGGATCCATGCACATCACATTTCACAAGATCACAATTAAAATTTGAAAGTTGAATGTCTAATAGCATGCTTCATTCTAATATTTTTTTCCACGGAACATTTACAGATTCATAAAACATCCTAACATCAGAGTTTCTGAACACACCGTTCAGAGATTCTGATCTACTCTTTCAGCTTTGATGACTGTGTGAGTTTATCTTACATTCTTTTAACAGAGAGGATAGCTTAAAGTTAACAAAATGCAACCAACAGACTACAGAGTTCCAGCTTAATGTGCTTTTATTGCTGACGTCACACACAGAGATTAAACTGGTCTGCTTCCAGATAGGAGCAGGAAACTACATGGATTAAAAAGGAAATGGATACAGTGCTGCCAAATGACTGTAACCACTGCTTATGTCTCACTGATGGTTCACTAGTTTCTTTATCATTTTAATTATAATGGATAGACAGACAACACACAGCTAATGTACTTTTTTTTTGTAACAGGAAACACTTCTGACCAAAACAATGAGCTAAAAGGCTCTGTAGAGCTGAGTGACATTTAACATGAAAGTTAAAACGTTAACTTGATATTGAATATTATGTGACAATAACTTTGCACCTTCGACTTACAAAGCAAATAAAAAGCACAATGTTGAATATAGTAATAATAGATACATACACACAACTTTATTACACCAGTCATTTTAGTCATTTCAAATGACACTGATTTGTACTGTCAAACAAAATAGCTAGTGAAAGTACTTAATCAGGAATGTTTCTGTAAATTACAAAACTAAGTTAGTGTCACTTAAGATGACTAATAAAATTAAATCAAGAATCTTTTTTAACTTAAAAAGTTGAGTTTGTGTTACTTAAAATGTATATATAACTTATCGCATTACAGTGAATAGAAAGGACTGACTTTGTTGAGAAATATTTCAGTAATGACAGAATTGAAACATGAGCCAGGGAGGAAGAAGAGGACTTCTTTTGAACACAATATTTATGAGGAAGGCTTCTTGTAACAGAGGAAGAACCTTTTCTGCATGCAGTCCCTTATATCCAAGCTGCCGTTCTTCCTCAGGATGCCACAGAACCTCTGAGTCGGGCAGCTGTTAATATTCTTGGGTGGCCCTGGTTCTCCACCCACCCACACCCACTGACCAGCCAGGTAGCGGAGGCCCGTCCACACCTACCAACATTAGCACAGAGCTGTAAACACAGAGGAGTTGCTCAGTAATACAAACAAACTGTAGAAAACTGCCCTACCTCATGTGGAGCCTCTTGTGCTGTCTCTTGTGCAAAGGTGAGGTCATCTACAGTGAGCAGGGTGGCAAGGTCATAGCGGTGGTTCTGGTAATCAGTGGCTGGCTTACTTTGGTCCACTGCCTCCAGGGTCCTGCAGTGCATTAATGCATCCTCCCACGTCTTATTCTCCTTCACCAGAACCAGATTCTCCTCATAACACATGAATTGATTATGGGACTCACATTTAGTGGCCAGCCATTGTTTCCCATCCTCTTTTGTAAAAGCACAGTTTTCACCATCCTTTGGGTGATCTGTAAGAAGCAGGAGAAGTGAGGGGACTGAATTAACAATACAAATATCTACTTCACTTAGTTGACTATGTCTGTAGGTAATCAGCTCATTCTAAGGAAACAAAAACACAGCAACTCCTATATTAAGGAGATAATACACTAAAGAAAACATACCTAGGAACATTATATTCCATTCCTGACAATAGATGCTCCTAAATGTTACACTGCACCTTTATAGCCAGATTAAAAAAATAAAGCATATAGAACTATACAAGTAACTCTAATCCAGTCTATTCTTGCTTGCCAAAATTGTCACTGCCACATTTTGTGCAGAAAAGCAGTGAAATCAGCGTGCTGATGTGTTTTCTGTGGGCCATAATCAAATAAAATACAATCATGATCGCTGAGGCAAATGACCTGTTACTTGTATAAATGTAATTTTTAGCAGACAAGGCTGGCTGAGGACAGCGGTGAAATAAAGTCTGACTTTTCTAAATTAAAATAATAATTTATGATATAATATCTATTGTGTATAGAAAAGAAAAACGGCACACATATTAACATTGTATGATCAAATTAATCAGATGCAAGGAACAAAATCATCTTAAAGTTACTGTACCATAAGCCTGAGAGCATTGATCTTCCCTACTCTGTTACATTATAGCTCTGCTTACCATTTTTCCAGGGGAAGTAGGTGGCTATCTCATCTCCTCTGGACCATTTCCAGTCAGAGCTTGTATTCTCTCGGTATAAACCGATCCAGCCATGGAATTTGTCCAAATTCTCTGTTTCATTTCTGATGGTGACCAGGTCTGTGTGATTCTCCCTGCAGTATAACTGTGCCTGTGTCCAGTTCATCAGGTATTTGTGAAAAGTAACATTAGGTCTAAGGCGTGAAACCTGCCCACACACAGGAGGAAGAAGGAGCAGCAGGGGGACTAGAATGCAGATTTCCCTCCTCATGTTTTCCACCAGATACCTGCAGTCACATGCACATTGTAATTGAGCACTGAACAAGAATGAAAAAGTGCTGATTTGATCAGAGCTCATAAATGCTAACTGAGGTGAACAGTAATTCTTAATGCAGCGCACACAAAAGTCTGTTTTTGCTGGAAGAACTTTGTACCAAAGAAATAGTCCCTAAAGAAAGCACAATGGAATGCCAGTTAAAGTGTGAGATCCTACTTGTAAGCTCAGGGCAAATCCATCTAACAACTCCACACGTCTCTCATTTCAATCAACACTGGAGGGTGGTAGACAGAGTCTTGCACAGGTCCAGTTTTGCAAACCTTCACCCATCCGCACCTACAGAGTTCAGAACCGGAAACAACCCGTGCTGCACACACAGTCATTTCAATCATTCCTAACCTGTGCTTAGGAAAATAGTCAGCAGGAAATGTAAGCTAAAATGTTTAAAAACACCATTATTGTTCTTTAAGTGCTTCCTTTGCCATACCAGTGTCATTGCCTAGCCCTAGCTCTACTTACCTTGGCAGGCTTGTTCCTACAGCAGCACTCACCTTGGACAACAGCAGCAGGGTGGGCAGCTTTGGGTTATTTCAGGTACTGAAGTCTGAAATATTCATGGCCGACCAATCACAGCTCAGATGGACTCTGACTAGACCAACAGCTGATATGCAGAGTAATCATGCCACCTATGACATTCACAGGGTCACAAGACACCCACCCACCCTGTCAGTCTCTCGCTCTCCCTTTCTCTTCATCTTCATGTCATTTTGCTTTTCCATGTAAATTCATGCAGCAGCCATGCAAAGTAGATCTTTAGCATCCTGGTGTTTGGTCCTTTGCACAGAAATATATACATAGACGCCACATCAGCCGCTTCGCCCGTTGCTGGGATACGTCAACGCATCCATCATATTAGACCAGGCAAGACTGGCATGTAAACAAATAGTAAACAGGGGTGTCGTGGGTTTTCTGAAAAAAGGCGCTATAATGTTTACATTTCTCAAAAGATTTCATTGAGCAATGTTTATGTTCTACATGGAGTACAGAAAAAGGTTTTGTCTCCAGTTACTTAGAATCTCTATTGTTAGACTATAATAGCTGCTTGACGGTCAAGAGAGGAATATGTAGGCTTACATTAAATTAATTACTTATAATAACATAATTCATTGTCCTTGGAATTGTAAAAAAATGTATGCTTTGTTGTGCCCCAGGTCAGAATAGGTCAATCACATTGAAATACTGAAAAAAAAAGTGCTTTCTTTAACTACTAATTTAACCTTTATTGAGAAAATGAGGGGTGCAATGGTGAGGTAGCTGCCACCCCTAAAGAATGCCTGGTCTCCCCAGTTTGGTGTCAAATACTTCCAAACACTATCAATTAATTATTTTATTTAATTCATTAAGTCTGAAGACTTGGAAACAAAACAATGAACTGATCTTTGATTGACCTTTAGAAATTTCTATTCAATGCTTAATGCTTAACTAATGTGCCACAATAATGTACTGTTTATTAATATATGTGACTGTTTGTGCCACCCCTGCCACCCTTTGGACACCCTATGAATTGGCTTTTGTGACATGTTAGCTTCTTGCTTAGGTAATTGCATTTACCTCCTCTACTGAAACATCAAGAATGAATATGCAAATAATGTGCACTGTTTTTCCCCATCACACTAGTGTAAGCTGTATATTTGGCTTTCAGACTAGATGTGCCGCACAAAATCCTGTTTGTACGATTTATGGTAAGCACAGAGAAACTTAACTTATTTAGCTGTTCAAGTGATGTATCAATCAAGAATATACTGTAACTTCTGTTTTTACGTTTAAGACACTCTGATCTGATCTGTCAGTGTGTTTCAGACAATCTGTTTCTTTTAGTGCTGCCTAAATGATAACAATAAACCAGACCTGCCAAAACACCAAAGTTTAAAAAAAAAGAAACCAGAGAAAATAATACATTCCTTATTACCAATTACACTGTAAAGAAAAAAAGAAGTTATTTCAAGGAAACTGTCAAATAACAAGTTTTGAAATTAACCCAAAAAATTAACTCGCTACAAACTCACTCCTGTCCCTCTGTTTCATGTCAAGAAGTTGACCTCCTCTGTGCTAGTAGTGTTTAAAGTCCCCCTGTCCTTCGAGCTCCCAGTCCAAGTAACTTACTGTCTTTGCCTCCTTTGTCAGAAAGTCTATCACTGGAAGCTCTCCATGTGAAAAGGCCTGTTTCTATAGCAACCTGGTCAACTTCTTGCTAACTGCCCTGTCTTGAACAAGAAACAAAAATCCATTGAGCTGGTAGACTTAATAACTGTACAGAGCATCCTGCTCTTCGTCTTTTCTTATGGATGGCTTTGTCTCTCTTGTTTCTGATTCTATAACTAAGCCACCTGTTAAGAACTAGAGAGACTGGAGCTTTTCACTATTTGATCCTCCAGTATTTCCTCCAGTTTACTAACAAGTCTGCCTTGGGCTCTAATGCTATTGTCAGTGGCGGACAAACAATCCGTCTGCGGCTCATTAGGGTATCTGCCTCACTGAAGCTCACACAGACTGCGCAGCAACGTTGGGCACAAACACACCCCCTCCTCTCTTTTTCTGAGGCTCTCTGTCACAGCACTGCAGGCACACACACACACACACACACACACACACACACACACAACAAGTTGCGCCCCGGCCCCCGCCCCGCCCCCCTCCTCCCTCACCTGTAGTTCTACATGCTTGAAAAATGGAGCGAGATCAACAGCCCAAGAGGAAAGGTGGAGCAGAGAGAGAGAGAGAGGCTTAAAAAGCTAAAAGCACTGGCTGTTGTTTGTTGGTCAGTAAGGGAGCCGGTCAGACATTAAACACTAGTGGTGACAACAGACACACAACCAGAGTCTATCCAGCACCACCAGCTTCATGAGGAGGTTTGTTCCACTTTGTGGAAGCTGATGGACTAAAACTGACTTAATAAAACAAATGTTTTAAGTTGTAACAAAGGATATTGCAAATTTTATAATATGGTTACCTAACATAGACACGACATAATAAATTATATGAATATTGAAATCCTTGTATTATATTGTTTCATTTAATCTTTATTTAACCAGGTAAAATCCCACTGAGATTAAGAACGTATTTGTTGTTATATGAACATAGCAAATGCATATAAAAATTGTCAATTAGTGAATTTGAATAGCTGAGAAATGATGGGTGGCTTTTGGATTTTTCTTTACATCGGTGGAGAAGGGAGCAGTGTCAGCACGGTCAGCAGCACTAGTGCTGCAAGTTCCTGCTGTCATGGCAGTGGTGAAGAGTCAGAGCAGGAACATCGTTTCAGTTTATGTGATTTGAGTACAGGTTATTGCAGCACAACAGAAACATTTATTTTGTAGGGGAAAGAAACAGAAAAAGCTGTGTGTGGGCGCATGTGGAGCCTTTGCTTTATTATTTTACACTCTTACATCAGTAGGCGCCCAACCTAACCCACTCTTGTTGTTTTGCATTAATCGGGTGGTGGTGGCCTGGGATGGTATCAAATTCCAGGCCTGAATTATTGTCCCAGTCGGCCCCTGGCTATTGTTCAAGGTTTTGATGGGGGTTACATGTCGTTGCCCATGCCATGCATTACCCTACTGTAAAGACTTTAAGAGAGATTGGGAACCCCTTTACTCATCTTTGCAGCTAGAGAAGTAACCCAAGAGTCTCTTGGTTTCAGTCCAGCTGAGCTGGTGTTTTGGCCATACTGTGGGGCCCTTCAAAACTGAAAAATGGTCGGAAAAACAAGCCTCCTTCTACTAACCTCTTAGATTTTGTTAACAAGGCATGTGAACTGGCCAAGCAAATGTTGAAGGAAGCTCAAGGGAGGATGAAGGGGTGGTATAATAAAAAGGCAAAACATCCGAGTCCTTCTGCCACTTCCGGGGTCTGCTTTGCAGGTTCAGTATAATGGACCATTTGTCATTGAGCATCAGGGTGGTGAGTACAAAACTCCTTGGTTGAGATCCCAGATCGTAAAACATGTTCATGTGATGTGAATCTGTTGAAACCTTATTGTTGAACACTGAAAGGAACCAGGCTGTGCTTTCAAATGTCAAGACTGTTGCTGTGTTGAACACTCCAATCTATTTAGGTGAGAAGGACACTGATGTTGTAATCCTGGCCAGTTTGGATGCCGATCGTTCTTACCTGGATCCCCCAAACCGTTTTTGACACCATTGAAGTCATTTACAAATACCCTGCCCTTTTCTCTGATGTGCCCACACACACCAATGTCCTTCATGATGACAATGATGAAGGTGATGCTGCTCCCATTAAGCAACCTCCTTACAGAGTTAATCCTGTTAAGCATCAGCTTCTGTGTAAGGAAGTAGACTATATGCTGCAGCATGGCATTGCTGAACCTAGTGCTAGCTCATGGAGTTCACTGCCACATGCTACCCTATTCCACCATTGGATGATTGATTTAGCATCCACAGCCTTCATTATCAGGTTAGGCCAATTTGAGCAATGCAATTTTAATATTGAGTAATTGATATTGGGTTCTTTATACAACACCCCACATATATTCTGCCTTTAAAATCGACCACATATGCTTATCTACATAATTGTTCCTGCATTCAAATACCTGCATGGCTCAGTGATAGGCAAATTTGTCCTTCAACTCACATTGTCTTGTTCTCTGACATGAACTGGTTTAGCACTACCAAGATTTAGCAGTTATTATGAAATCTGTTGGACTGAAGTCAAAATGAAGGAACGTTCATTATGGGCCTAATGGAAGCTGTCATGTTTGCTTTTAGCTTCCTCAAAACATTTCTCGCAACCAACCCAATAGTTTATGGTGTACCATTTTCAAGCCTCAAATTACGTACTTTGAGTGGAGACGACTATTGCTCATTGGCTGTGCAGTTTGGACTTGGACTCCGTAAAAGGAAACAATGGTGAAAAAAAAAAGAAGCAGATTATTCAATTTTTATTGGTAAGAGGAAACATGGTTTTTGTCTTCATAGATGTTAGATTTGTAGAGAAAATGAAGATTTAAAAATCCTCATAAAGAAGAAATTGGCTCCATGTTTACAATGATTTGATCACTTGTTGCAGGAATCTAACTGAAATGGGAAGTTGTATAAATATATATATTATATATTATACTTTACTGATGTTGACTGTTGTTAAAGAACCAGAGTGTAGGATTTAGTGGCATCTAGTGGTGAAGTTGCATA